AAACTGCAGAACTGCAGTCAGCTGAAGTAACCTGCAGTGCTGCATTTAACCACTGTGCCACCTCGGCACATGGAAACACATTTCCCCAACTATATGGGATTAATTGGAACAGCATCAGAAAAATACGGACAAACCTTATGTTATTAGCCACATAGAATCCCTTGGTGACTGGAGAGAGCCATATACTTAATTGAATAAATTTGAATTTAATTTATTAAATTGAATAAAATAAAATGAATGTAGCTGCTGCATTTTGGACAGAAGTCGCATATACAGAACCTGTATATCATAGCGAAAGGTTTGTCCTTAGCATTTTAGTTTGGAGTGCATCATGATTCAGGCCAGAAAAAAATTATAGAAACTTACTGAGAAATAGCCACGATCTTGGACCATTCATAATATTTGTTGTTAGACCAGTGAGAAGTGAAATTTAGGCAGTGGCATATCACGATTTTGGACTGTTGATTCTGGCGGCCGCTGCTTACTTTTTACAGAAATGATTATTAACTAGGACACGAAGCCTAAACTGAATTTCATCATCTTGGCTGCAAAATCAAGCAGAACACAGAAAATAGTTTGTGACAAAGAGTCTCCTTACATAGGCACAAAAATGCCAGGCATGCAAAATCAATCACTTTTCTGGTCAGCGCTGCAAGGGCAAAACTCTCAAACACTGATAATTTCTTTAAATGATCTTAAAAGTGCAAATGTGGAAACTCCCTCACATTTTGCAGGACAGAAATAGACAATGTGCAGCCATTCAAAGGTTGTTGAATGCCAACTCTGTTAAATATAGAGGCGTTGCTAATATTGAGGGAGTATCCCACATTCCCCATCAAGTATGAGAGGCAGAGTGTAGGCATTTTTCTACCTAAAAATCAATAGAATTCATATACAATATAAAAGAAGTTTTATTCAGAAGTGAGCCAAACATGCATTTTATTCTAGTGGATCGTAGTATTTGAGCAAAGATGTCCCTGCATTGTACCATTTATTTTATCTCACAAAAACTCAGTAAGAGCCATCAAGAATTCAGCCATCCCTGTCTGCTCAGCCTTACCTTAACTTTTACTTAATAATTAATCTAGAAGGGAGAAAACAAAAGCCTCTTGGATGGATCAAAAGAGGCACATGAATCAGTAAAATGATGAAAAGGATTATTTAAAAATCTTGAAAATCCATCCTTTGTATTAGTCATGGTAACAGACAATGATTACACGATAATTTATAATTAGAGAAAAACAAAACCTTTGGCACTTTTTCTGACAAAAACATCCGGATTTTGAATGATATTGTTATCAATTCACATATGTCAGAAAATCCTGAGCCATTGAGTCCTGCTTGAGACACAGTCAGAAATAAACAAAGATTGTATTCAATTTAACAGACGTGATTATGACTGCCATGAGACCAAGAAGCTGTTGTCAGAGTCACCTGATGGTTAGGGATTATTTAGGGTTTAAAATTGTAATGGCTAAATAAATCAGAACCAACCTCCTTCATGGGAATGATGTTAGGAGCAGTTTCTTAGTCTCCCTGGAAGTAAAACTCAGAGCTTTCTGTAATCCAGGGACGTTGAACTCTCTGAGAAGCCCAGAGAAATCATCAAAAGAACCCATGCAGTTCGGGGCTACATCAACAGAGGAATCTTGTCAAGATCATGGAAATGACACGGTTGCTTTCAAAAAGAATACTTAGGAACTGGAAGGATGTCCGAGAAGAGCCATATGGAGGGAAAGAGGCTTGGAGATCCTAAATCCTGCAAAGAACAGTTAAAGGAACATCTAACCTAAAGAAGAGAAGCCTAAAAGGAGATATGATAGTAGTCTTGAAGGGCTGTCATAGATGATGTGACGAATCATTCGCCAGAACACAGAAGAATACCACTTTATAATGTCTTGGTAAGACCACTTGGATTACTGCATCCAGTTTGGTTATCACAATATAAATCTATATATATCGAGACTCTGGAAAGAGTGCAGAGAAAAGCAACAAAAATGATTAGGGGGCTGGAGGCTAAAACATGAAGAACAATCGCAGGAATTGGCTATGTCGACTCTAGTGAAAAGATTGACTAGAGGTGACATGAAAGCAGTGTTCCAACATTTGTGGGGTTGCCACAAAGAAGAGGGGGGTCCACATTCTCCAAAGCACCAGAGGGGAGGAGTAGAAGCAATGGCTATATGCAATAAATATATTTGTATTTTCCTCTGCAAATATAAAAATAGACAGGGGAAAAAGATATTCAAATAACTAAAAGCTCACCAGAGCCCATCAATACTCTGGGCATTAAGGTATTTAGGTCAGTGTCTGTTAGGTACTGGAAATACCGAAATGGAGGATGAAATAGGATTGCTGTTTGAATCATCTATAGGTATGAAATAGCTTTGAAAATATTTCGAAATGTGATATGATTATTTTTCTGTTTTTCCCATTTTTATTAAGATATTGGTCTTTGTACATGGAATGAAATTATTATTTTTCTCTGTATGTTGCAACAAGAATACAGTATTTAACTGAGAGCATTTCTGCTTTCAGTAAAAGAGTACAAAGTTAGTGGACAATAACATTATAAGTAAAACCATTTTAAATCTGGCTTTCAACCTTTCTGATGGCTGCAGTGGAATTAACAATGTTAATTTGGGATGGACTACGCCCAATGCAATCAAGCTCTTGCTCTCCAATCTGTTAGGAAGCCGTTTAATCCACTTATGTATCTACATTTGCAGGTCCAAACTGCTTTGCAGGAACCACCATCATCCCGGCTGGCATCGAAGTCAAAGTGGACGAGTGCAACATCTGTCACTGCCATCACGGGGACTGGTGGAAACCCGCCCAGTGCTCCAAGCGTGAATGCCAAGGCAAGGCGGCTGCGTAGGGCAAAGCTTCCAGCAATGACCTTTGCACCCCCATTGTGACAGCTTCCCAAGCTGAATCTGCCAGCTGCAGTTGGGTCACCAGCAAAACCTTTTAGGGTTAAATGAGACAATTTTACCTGTGAGCTTCTTATCTTCATCTCTTTTCCTCTCTGAAAACAAACCTATGGAGCTTGACATTATAGCAAGCGACACAGGTTGGTCAACTAGCTTAGGAATGGAACTTTCTACAGAGCTTCTTCTGGTAAGGGTTTATGTTTTCTCCACCACGTGGGGATAATTGAAAAGAAAAATGTATGCTCTAATTTTGATAGGAAACAAGCTGAAGCCAACCAGTGTAAGCAGTCAATATTCATCCAAGAGATTATACAACCTAAGAAAATCAAACTCTTAAGATCAGCACTCAACAACACATCCCAGTGTCACTTGGTTCCATCATCATTTTCCCCACCTCTTTGATTCTAGGAAAGGGGGAAAGAAACTGCAGCTTCCTAGAGAGTCGCCTTTCCCGAACGCATCAGACTCAAGATCCCCATTCAGGTTAATTTTAGTGGCAATTCCTGCCCTCTTTGGCCTCTCTCCATCTTTGAATAATCTCAGCATGAATGTAGAAATCAGCTGGTTCTTAGGAGATCATATGTCCATCTCTACTGGAAGAAATCATCCGATAGAGTTGCAATTCATGACTATCCAAGTGTTAATTATCAGCACAAATATATTTTAAAACAGTTAATGCTGAATAACATTCCTATAAATTGGATGGGGTGGGGGAATCACACAAAAGATTTATTTCACCAGGATGCCTGGAAATCAAGACACAATGTAATCCCATATTTTATTTTATTTTTGGCTTAAGAGCCCAAAGAAAATTAACTGTGAAAGTTTCCTGAATTAAATTTATGTTTTTCATTTTTCTTTTCAGTATTCATTTCTAATTCCAACGAAGAAGTCCTCCTTGTTTGAGCTTACATGCATATATTTGGGGCTAAATTAATAGGGACAACTTTTTGCCATTGTTCCATTTCTTCTTAGGTAAAATATCTCATGAAAAAAACATAATGTTCCAAATCTATTTTAAATTTTTCAATTTCTTGGAAGAAATTGAGATCATTTCCTATACAATAATTTTAGACATTAGTATAAATATGTTCCATGGAGAGAAAATTGTGTTAACTGGAAAACAACTGAAACACCAAAGTCCCAGAAATATGTATTATGTGATGAAATTTTGCACCTATCATCAACCATTTTATTAGGTAGGGAAATGGAGTCACACCCCCCTGTTTCTGCAACCTGCCTAGAAAAGATGTAAGCAAGGATGTTAACTATGGAACAGAAATAGGTTTTTGCATATTGTTTCTCCAGAAATGCAGACTGACATTATGCCAAACATAATATAACACCCCCAATCTCCCCACCCCCCTCTTTTTAAATCCAGGCTCCATCTGGATAAGACTTAAAATAAACGAAATGTTGCTTACCTTTGTGTTAAGAGATTATGCTGCATACATAAAGTGCAGATAATTGTATGAGTAGAATTGGACAATAAATCAAGGCAATATACCCTATGAACAAAAGTATAAAAGGTGAAATTAATAGCTACTTAATTATGGAAGCAGTAATGGGTGAAAATTAAGCTTGAACTTCCATATTTTAGCAATTAAAATAAATTGTGACAAAGGTTCACTTGAATTGTGATCTTCTCCTTTGGTTTGGATCTATTCTCTATAGTTGCCATTTGTTTTTAGTTATGTGGAAAGACCAGTTGTGGCTCCCCCGCCTTTTACATAATTTGACCAAAAGACTGTATGAAATAAAAGGAAAGACCAAATGCCATGTAAGTTTTGAGTAGCATGTTACCTCAAGCATTGTGGATTCTCATCCATAAGCTTTTTTCTGTGTTTAATGCCCTTGATATAAAGCACTGAGATAAAAGTGGTGCCCTGTGATATGAACAAGCTGATTTGGCTTTTTCTCAAACTAATAGAAAGCCTCAAAGCATCAATACTTGGACACAAGAGGGATCTGCATTTGCTCTGCTCATCTAACGTCATATCAGGCAACTCTTCATTAATAAACTAATTTGAACAATGGTTGGCAGCTGTGTTCAAGAATTCATGAATGCAGATTAGTAAATTATTCAGGTATAATTTTTCAGAGATCTCCTCACTTTCCCATTCCATGACAGATTCATTTTCTGTTTTTGCTTCCTTCGAAATACAAATAAACTAAAGCAGATCTTTGAATAAGAAATAAATGACATTCCTGGGCTTTTGAAAACCAGGACAAGGCTAAGTAGGGCTAGAAAGCATTGCAGCCTATGTTTTATTGACAAATTCCAGAATCTTTGGAAGAAAAGAGAAAAAAATGATTGGCTAAGATCCATCAAAAGACAAGCCTACTAGAAGTGGTTCAGAGAATTTATTGGAGTCGAGAAGTCTGAATTCACACAAAATAAACTTTGTACGGAAGAACACACTGGAAGCTATCACTTGCAGACAAGATCTTTATTAAGAAAAAGTCTGGGTCTGGGATTTAATTACCATAAGCTGCTTTAAGGAGCCCTTTATAATACCATAATTTTTTGACAAAGTGATTCAAAGTTGCAAGCTTATAATTTGGAAAGGAGCATTTGTGCATGTCAAAAGCTCATTTGTGGAGCTTCGTGAAGGCTTAAGCCAAAGTTAGAGTATCTATTGTGGAGCTTTGCTAGAACCCCAATTTGAGAGACATAACACTCTTTTGAAAGAAGGTATTTAAAAAGTTCTCACTTATGCAGGAGGAGGAGGAGGCACCGTTTTACACCACCATGCAAATGTAGTGATTAAGGCATCCGGCTAGAAAGCAGGAGACCCAACATCCTAGTCCCTCATAGGCACAAAGTCAGCTGGGCGATTTGGGCCAGTCCCTTCCTTTCAGCCCTGAGAGGCAAATGGCAAAAGACTTGAAAAATCTTCTCCAGCCTTTTTAAGAGTTTTATATTTTTTCATTTTCATATAAATAACCACATGTATACCATTACATCAATACTATTTTGTATTATTCTTTCAGATTAATAATTTTAAC